CAACTTAACTGAACTAGAGAGAGTTAAATTTGAGATCGGGGTGGAGGACCTAGAAGATGAAGATGTGATGACAGTGGGGCCCATGAGCCCAGGGAGTGAATGGGAAGACATGACCATGGAGAGAGAGACACCCACTCCGGGTGTAGCAGGAGGTCGAGGGACGTTGATCTGGGATGATGATGATGAGGAAGATCTATCCAATTTCACGCATCACTTGTATGATTCTATATATCTTAGAGGGGAGAGAGTTGATGTTGCTTTACTAAATGCTCTTGATGCTCATCGGACAATTAGGTATTCCTGTCATCTACCTCGTCTGCTTTAGACTTTACAAAACATATATATTATATCTTTAAAAAGCAAAGAGAAACAAAAGAACATAGTTAGTGTTTATTACATATTTATTTATATGCTATATGCTGCAATAAATGTTTTGGTATGGTGATCAATGCCAAAAATCTTGTTATTTGTACCATTTGTTATGTTGATAAGTATGCTTTTACCATGTATACAATTTGTTTAGCCAAGTTGAACAAGTATTATTGTTGATTGCATTATTGTTGATTGCAATCAAATACATTCGTTAATTCGGTGACACGAATAATAGGCGGGAGTCTTAGAGGGTGTTTGGCAAAGCTTAAAAGATGAGCTTTTTGACTTATTATTGGTTTGATACTGGTAGAAGTCAAAAAAAGTGTTTGGGTAAAAAACAACTATTAGCTGTTGGTAACCTCTAATAAGTCAAAAAGTGATAAGTAACCTACTCCTTATTAAAAATTCCTTATTTCACCAAATAAGTTATAAATCAAAAAGTCAATAGATCTTTTCAAATAAGCTTTGCCAAACACCCATTTAATATATAGATTATAAAAACGGCTAAATTGTATTAAGGAACTACCAAGCAACTAGAAAACAACAAGAGAAAATTACATTATAGGGTTTTGCATCCTCTAATTCAAGTTTTTGCAACCCTTCTTATTCCTTTTCGAGAACCAATTAAAAGAAAAAGAAACAATGAAATCAAACAAAATTTCCTTCTTTGGTTTGGAATCTCCAAAACCCAGCTCATTCCGGTAAGTCCATAAGACCCAAATCAAAGTGCAAATCATCATGTCAACCAACACACGACGAGCATGTTTGTAGTGTTGTTAACCCAAAGAAACACTTCCTACAGTAAATGAAAAAGAAGGAATCACTAAATCAATCCATCTAGCAACCCGACTCTAAAGTTGTGTCGCTACCTCACATTGTAAAAATAAATGAATCGCCTGGAACCTCTACACAACAAGGACAAAGAACTAAAGGAAGCTTAACCTCTCTCAAATCCAAAGAGGACCTAAATGACAACCTGTTTAAACACAATCGCCAAATAAAAATATTTATCTTTATAGTTAAAGATGTATTCCAATGTGAAGTAATTTCCGCCACAGGAGGGTAACTGCATCAAGAACTTGTCTAGTAGAATTACTTGAAAAGCATCTAGATGTATCTAACCCCCACGACCAAGTATCTTGCCTTGTATCCAGGATGAACTGACTGACTGCAGAGGAACTATTTGCTCCATTGTAGCACCAACATCAACCTCCATTCTCCATACAAGCCGCTGTCTTTTTTCATCCTAACAATCACTAACACGAGAAGTCAGTCATCGATGATTTAGTGATGACAAACGTAAATGCTCGGTCGGGCTAGGGCTAATTTGATTTGTTCAATTAGTCAGTTGTCGTAAATCGGAAATCGGAAAACAACACATAGACTGAGAGAATGATTTCAATCCATGTCTCATGTCTATACTGTAACGACCAAAATTTCAAAACAATTAAAATGTTTCAAAAACAATCTATTTTAATAATGTTGTTACAAAAAGGGTTTTCAATACATTATTTAACAGAGTATTTCCCATGTCCATTTCATAAAACACCAACGCGAGGAACGGTACGATCACGCCTTTGCCTTGCCACAGACTCCTGAGAACCTAAAAACATAAAAACCACAACTGTAAGCCCGAAAGCTTAGTGAGATACCCAAAATACCAACCACATATACGCCCTTCCAGGCCATAACCTTCCGGTCTAAAACATATCGCCTTCCGGCCCATAGCGTAATGCCTTCCGGCCCCTAACATATCGCCTTCCGGCCCGCAACATAAAAAACATACATATCATGACAGAACATATAACAACCATGCATACCGGGTTACACTCCAGACCAGACAACCATGCACATCACATATAATCATATAACAGTTCACAGTTAGCAACTCGATCAACAAATCACATAACATATCATTACCCTAACCAAGATACCAGCCTAGCCGATCACTAGCATAACATCACCCTACGACTCAGCCAACATAATAATTACGCACGTACGCCTTTCCAGGCCATGACCTTCCGGTCCACATCGCATTGCCTTCCGGCCCACAACATGTAATGCCTTCCGGCCCATAACGTAACGCCTTCCGGCCCATATCCCTCAATATCATACAACAGACAGTTACCCGGATTTCCATCCGATAAAAGGGTCGGCCTTGGTGCCTTAAACCCGATAGATATAGTGAAGATAACTCACCTCGAACTGCCGACGGAACAGATAACCCAAGCTGCTCCGATCCGTGATACGATCTCCACCACTGGACAGCCACCAATGCACTGAACTCAAAACCATAATCAACAATTACCAAAATACCCCTGGAAACCACTAGTCAACCCTTGGTCAAATACTAGGTCAAAGTCAACCCCTGACTGACCCTACTCGCCGAGTCAACCCTATGACTCGCCGAGTTCCCATACTCAAAACTTCATTCAACCCGCGACCTAACTCACCGAGTCACCCCAAGACTCGCCGAGTCCAACAACTCTAAGTCCACTCGCACATAACTCACTGAGTCATCCCTTGACTCGCCGGTTCTTCGACTCAACCAGAAAATATTTGGACTCTTCGACAAGACTCGCCGAGTCCAAGAACAGACTCGCCGAGTCTAAGGCTATCTTCAATCTACTCGCCGGTTGATCATCTAACTCGTCGAGTTCCAACTTATCTTCAAGCAACTCGTCAAGTCCACCCATGTGACTCGCCGAGTACCACCGGTCTGCATCCAAACAGAAGCGTTCCAGACCATGCAATTGATCCAAAACATAGATCTAGCCTCCTACAACTTATCCATCACGTAAAGTGGCAATCTTTACGTGAATCCAAAGAGATCTATGCATTTTGCACATTAGGGCTAAGGTTTGGGACAAGATAGCTTCATTCAACACTCAACACGGGGACTTTCCTGCATTCCAACTCTCCTCTATTCCAGATCTGAGGTAGCAACCTCAGATCTAACCTCTAGATTCCAATATCACCCAAGATAAGCTTCCCTCAAACCCCAAAATGAAGAGACAAAGAAAACAGCCTAAGAACGAGATATTACCTCAAAGGAACGCCCCAATCTGCAAGGAACTCGAATCCAAGCAAAGCCCCTTGCTCCACACCTTCAATTTTCCAAACTTTCTTCAACAATTACTTCTCCAAGCTCCAATCCACTCAACAATGGTTCTTCTCCATGATTTTAGGGTTTCATGCACTCAAGGGGTGATAAAGAGGCTGGGGTGGAATCATAATGCTCTTTATATAGGGCTCAACCCCGAGAATTAGGGTTTTCTCCACTCAGCGCCTACTCGCCGAGTCCATCTCATTGACTCGCCGAGTCGGCTATTTAACACGTGACCAAGTCGCGACTCTACTCGCCGAGTCCATCCATGGACTCGCCGAGTCACTCTTTCCCAAATTACACTTTTAGCCCTTCAACTCACTCTTGCTATTTCGGGATGTTACAATTCTTCCCCACTTAAATTAGGCTTCGCCCTCGAAGCCTACAACAATACAACTCCAAAGATATTCCCACAACGCGCCACCTGGCCTTAACCGGACCAGGTCCCACAAGGCATACCCGTCGAAACTCGAACACACTTTCCCTTCCCTTACGGTGTCCTGACCACCGTCTCGAACCGGGCACCGACTGTACCCTCTGATAATCACACTCAATAACCGAAAATTACCCAAGGTGCATCACTGCCCCAAATCTTCAACAATCACTCGACCCATAAGGGCTAGAAAACCATGAACCATATGATTCCCGATCCAAATCCCCCTCTATCCATTCCGGGACAACTGAGAGACCCATTCTCAATCTCAGAGCAACTCTCACGAGTTCTCCCCTTGCAACCGCATACACATGCTGAACTAGTTCTAACACCCTCAGGTTGGGTAAACCTGATACACTGATATTATCCTCAAACATCCCCAGGATAAACCACTAATACATACCCAATACTCTGATCAGAATCACACTGAGAGTCCAAGACTCTCTCCCTACATCCCTTCCGAACCTCTTGGCTCTACACTTGCGGAATTCCCTCCGCGGCCTCAGCAGACATCCCAAACCGGATGAGCTTCTATTCCACTGCCGCAAACATGCTGCTCAAAAACCATACTCAAATCACTCAAATCATAACTCTGCTCTACCGCTTTCCCTTCCGTGAACTTGCACTCCCTCTCGGAGTTACACCTCACTCTCTCTTCCTTTACCAAGGAAACCACTCGACCACATTATCACTCTGACACGTGCCGCGGTGCTCGCTCAACGCTACACCACCCTTTCATAGCGTATCCGCTATCCATCCAACACACATACTCTGACTCTCATCGCAGGGACTCTCAAG